AAATGTCATCCCCAGACTGTAAATACAGAATGAAAAGTTTACTGGAATCTGCATCACGGCACTTGGTTCTTTAAACAAGGTTTCAGGGTCCTGACTCTTGCTAAATACCACATGTGCATACCAGTTTTTCAGACTCTGCAGTACATGCTACAAGAATGTGAGTTTAAATGAAATCTCTATATCTACTGTAGTATATTAATCCTTCCATTTTAGAAACCACTGGATTGACGTTAAGATCTGCGGTTAGTACATTCCAGAAGTCAACGTTATCACCATGGACATTAACCTCATACACCTAGATCCTGTGTACACCCAAGGGCAAACTTTCATTTCAGTATCACTGAATAAGGATTAGATCTCCAGGGTGTGGTTTTCTGGGGAAGATATTGACCAGCTTCTATCCTTGCAGCCTCTAGAAGAGACATGGAATAAGAGATGGCAGGCCATCAGCACTCCCGCTGGTCAGGAGGGGAGAGAGCTGGAAATTTGTCTCTCCCACCCCTCAGGAGCAGCTAGAGCAGAGCCCCAGGCAATGGGAGTCGCGATGACTACTGGCTTCCTTCCAGCATCACCGCACTTGGGCTTTTCTCCAAGATGCCACTCCCGGGGTGTGCTTTGCTTAATAGGATAATTACGCCCTGGAATATAGTTATGCAAGTGTAATCCAGGGGATTTTCTGGGAGGGCAGTCCCAGGGCATGGAATCAAGACAAAGGTGATAGGGTAGTTGCAACTTGCCTGGGCTGCCAGAAATCATGGCTTCTCTCAGACATAACTACAAGAAAACGCAGGCATGTGGCCACCTCAGCAGCACACATGGCCTCAGCCTCCCTTCCACGCCAGCGTCTTTCTGCTTCAAGGTCTCTTCCTGCCACTCCCAATTATGAACTACAAGGTCTCTTGCTCCAGTCCACACCATCCCCCAGCCCTGGTGCAGCTTCTATTTTCTGACACCTGCTCAGAAACTAGAGGCTGAGAAAGGGAGTCGCTCAAACCTTGAATCCCTGTGGCCAGTGAATAAGATAGAGGTCCAGATAGCTCAGCTTCAGGTCCTTGAGGGTCTTCTCAAAGGCTTTCCTCACAAGCGGTCTCTCAAAAAAAGTGGGCCCCAACTGCAAGAGGGTAGCAATGAGCTGTTAATACTGAGAAAAGGAAATGCCACGTTATAATCATTGTCCCTGCCTTTTGATTTGCACCTTGATCTAACCTGGCACAGGTCATTTATAACAAAGCTGATTAAGATCCTCGACACAAGTGGAAGATCACCAGGGCTCAGCACGTCAATGACATGTCTTAAGTGTTAAAAGCAATTTACTTTTTCAACTCTCCTCGTACTCTATATGTCTCTCAGATCATTTAAGTAAATGTGGCCACAGATTTGAAATGTGTTTACCTGTCTCAGTCTCTTTGTCAGCTGTGGGCTCTCTGAGAGCAGGACTTGTGTGTAGCTTTTAAATGTCAAGCATTCTTAGGCCTTCGGGAAAAGATGGTCCTTTATCTGTCCTATCTGATGGGTCCCTTATCAAGCCTGTCAGGCCCCAGATGATAACTTTGTAAGGGCTTTATCCACACTTGGCTGCTACACAGTGGGGTCTATTTGTCCCACCAGATGTATGCAATATCCAAGTACCTAGAACTAGTGTTTTCTCAGCAAGTTGTGTATAATGTAAATCCAGTGATTCTCAACCGCCTCACACCCAACACCCTCTTCTTTTTCATAACATTGTGTATCTCACCTTTTAGTAGACTGAATAAAGAAAATCATATGTGACAATAGAAATATGCGCCTACTGTTTTCCAAAATGCCCCCTGGCTGAGAACATTATAGACACAGTGGTGGAGACCACAGTGCTGACAGGGAGACCACACATCAAGCCCTGCCTGCACCCTTGGCCTCTGACTGCCTCTGGGCAGATGGTGGATCCCTCTGATGGGGAACAGGGAGGCCCAGGGCAGTGCAGGGCTCCATGGAGACAACCCCACTGTGGGAAAACCAACCCGCAGGCAGGTGGCGCAGCAACGACATGTTCAAATATCAATAGCGGCTTGGAGTATGGATAGAATTGTATCCACGGATGTTATCAAGGCAGGGATGAAAAGGGTTACATGTAGAAAAGGCTGACAGAGATCTCGCTGCCGACCCGACCCAGATACTTCTGCCTGCCTTGAAGTGAAGGCCTCCCACCCAATGCGCCATGTGCACCTTGCTGACGATGAACAGGTCCTCCCGCTTCACAGCCTGCTCTTGGATCTTCTCTTGGATGGCTTCCCCCACCTCATGTTCATTCTGATAGACATAGGCACAGTCAATGTGGCGATACCCTGCATCAATGGCCACCTTCACCGCTTCTTTCACTTTGCCGAGAGGAGACTGAAAGGCAAAAGAAAAGCCCATCACACATGTATTATAATTTTTTTTAAGCGATGGGGACTTGCCATGATGCCCAGGCTGGCCTCACACTCCCAGTTTCAAGCAATCCTCCCACCTGCGGAGTAGCCGGAATTACACCACACTCAGCAACCAATATAGTCTCTTATCCCCAGACCACGTTCAACAGGCTGCCCCACATGGCCCAGTTTCTCCAAAGCAAGGCCTCACTGGGGTCTCTTGGCCAGGGGATATCTGCGAGGATACACATTTTAGAGAAGTTTTCAAAAGAAAAGGAGGAAAGTGAATTAATTTTATGATTATGTCCTTATGTCCTGTCCTAGTTAAAGTCAGTTCCCTTTTCATTCAGGTTAGTCCTGAAATGTCTTCAGGTGTGTCGGGGAGTGCAGATGGCTCCACTGCAACTTTCTGAAGACCCAGATGAAAGCTTGACTCTAAATACCCAGAGGAATTTTCAGACAATATCCCCAAACGGTGATAAGGATCTGGATAATGGTCATTACAGCATCAATCCGGATTCCAACACTTACTGGGTGTGTGGGCCTAAGCAGGTGATTCAATCTCTCTCAACCTTGTCTGCAATATGCAAAAATTAGCAAGAGCCTCATGAGGCCTTTGTGGTTATGACATGCTGCAATGAATGTTAAGTTTTTAGCAAATCACCTGACACACAATAAGGCTCAGTAGAAGCTGTTCATTATACAATTTCCTTTCAGAAAAAAAGGAGAAATAGAAAAGCTTAAAGGAATACAGTTTGTTTTCCATTCCTATAGAAGAAAGAGGGAGGGAGGGGAGAATGAGAGAGGAAGAGAAAGAAGGGAAAGAAAAGAAAAGAAATAGAATTATCATATTTTGTTCTAAACTAGCCAAGCCAATAATAGGGGCAAAAAGCACTTAAAACTTGATCTCTCACAAAATAGTCTTTTAAACGTCTTCTACTGCGAGGTAACAAACATTGAAAAGAACATAACACATAGATGCACAGTTACCGTACCACCTGGAGAAGAAACGGGCGGCCGTCAGGCATCCAGAAACACCCCTGTGCCCCCAACCGCTATGCTACACTACACCATCCTTCACCTCCACTGCTAAGTTCATAATCCTTTAGTCTATCATCCCCACATGTCAAAGATGATTCCCTTCATATTTCTTACATTCAATTCCAAAATTCTGGAATTTTGGATTCCAGAATTTTGGGTAAGTCTGGTAAACTTACCCAGGGTGAGCAGATTCCCTGGAGTTCTGGAAGTGATTATTTGTTCCTTTTATATAGGATTGAAGCTCTGATTTTGAGTAAATCTTGCTAATCAAGCAACAGACGCCGTGCATGAATCAAGCTGGAAGTGATCAGTTCGCCCAGATTAACCAAGAATGTATCCTGAGAATGAGCCAGTGTGGCAACAGAGTGTCCTACCCTCCAGCTCGGCACAAGAGAGGGGAAAAATCAGGGTGCACAGAAGGAAAGAGCCAGAGGCAGAAGACTCAGCAGGGACATTAGCCATGAGGGATAGGAGAGAAGAGGAATTCCAAAGACTGCTTCCGGTCGCTAGTTAGGGTAGTGCCATCATAGATGAAAATGGCAAAGAAGGCAGAGTGAGGTGGTGATGGAACAACTTCAAACTTAGCCTAAGAAAGGCTCAGGAACCTGCCTCACTGAGTCCTGGATGTGCCTTACCATGTTTTGCCAGCTGACATTAACACAACCAGGTGGACCTTATGACTCCCAGCCCAGGCTCTCGGCAGCCCCAGCACGTTGCAGATTTCAATGTGTACAGGAACCACCTAGGGATCTTGTTAAGGTGCAGATGCCCATTAGGTAGCCTGGGATGGAGCCCGAGACTCTGCAGTTTCTTTCTCTCTCTCTCTTTGTCTCTTTCTCTCTTTCTTGGATCTCACTCTGCTGCCCAGACTGGAGCACGGTGATACCATCACTGCTCACTGCAGCCTTGACCTCTCAGGCTTAACACTCAATCTCCACCTCAGCCTCCCAAGTGGCTCGGACTACAGGTGCGTCCCACCATGCCCAGCTAATTTATTGATTCTTTGTAAAAATGGAGTCTTACCGTGTTGCCCAGACTGGTCTCCAACTCCTGGGCTCAAGCAATCCTCCTGTCTGGGTCTCCCAAAGTGCTGGGATTACAGGCATGAGCCACCACACCCGGCCAGTTCTGCATTTCTAACAAGCTCCCAGCTCATATGGATTCTGCTAGCCCAAGTCCCACACCCTGATCTGCAAAGGGGTGCCAAGGACTTGGGGGTCTGCATCCTCTCCGCAACCGCCCGGCCCACAACAAACCCACAGCCAAGACTTTGGGGAAACGTTGAGCCCAATTAAGTGTCCTAGAGCCAGAGAGAGAAACTACCCTGGAAAACAATTTTGGATCCAACAGCTGCTTGAAATTTGATACTTGCTAGAGAAGCTCTCAGCGCTGCTGGGAAAGCCAGCCTTGGAGCTTTGCAGCCTGAATCAGCTCTGAGAAAAGAAAGCAACCGGAGTCCCGGCTCCAGGACGGAATCTCACCTCTCCAAACCCCTGCCCGACCTCCAGGCTTTCCTGGCTGAATGCAGAAAGAGAAAACACCCAAACGCCCCTCCAGGGAAGAAGGCTGTGCAAAGATTTGCATATTTACCTTCCAAGTGCCCAGGCCCACAATGGGCATCTTGGCTTTGGTACTGAGCTCCACAAAGGTGGCCATGGTTGGTGCAGAAATGATTCTGAGTGAGCAGGTAGAAGTCTCACGTCCTGCTTTTTGTTGTTGTTTTTGAGGCAGTCTTGCTGTGTCGCCGAGGGTAGAGTGCAGCGGTGCGATCTCGGCTCACTGCAGCCTCCGTCTCCTGGGTTCAAGCAATTCTCCTGCGTCAGCCTCCCGAGTAGCTGGGATTACAGGCGCCCACTGCGACTTCTAGGTAATTTTTATATTGTTAGTAGAGACAGGCTGGTCTCAAACCCCTGACCTCAGGTGATCCGCCCACCTCGGCCTTCCAAAGTGCTGGTATTATAGGCGTGACCTAAGAACCGGGCCGCATGCTACTTAAGAAGGCTGGTGCTATCTTAATTGGGAGGAGTTGGAGCCTGGCCACAGTAGCTTTCCTGCCATAAGCAAAGAGGAAATCCATTCCAGGCTTTTGTGCGATTGAGGATTATGTGAATGAATTATTAATCACGGCAACCTTGTGCAAAGTTCCCTCGTAGGTAACAGTATCATTGGAGTTTCTGCTTGTTCACTATGAGTCAACAAACTCAACACTAAAAGTTGGAAAGTAGCAAGGGAGAGAGAAAGGAAGGAAAGAAGTGTAGAGAGAGGGAGGGAAAGAAGCCTGGCCAACATGGTGAAACCCCCTCTCTACTAAAAATACAAAAATTAGCCAGAAACGGTGGCACAAGTCTGTAATCCCAGCTACTTGGGAGGCTGAGACAGGAGAATTGCTTGAACCTGGGAGGTGGATGTTGCAGTGAGCCGAGATCGTGCCGCTGCACTCCAGCCTGGGCGAGAGAGTGAGACCCTGTCTCAAAAAAAAGAAAAGAAAAGAGAAAAGAAAGGAAGGAGGGAGAGAAAGACAGAAAGCAAAGCATAGAAGGAAGAAAAAACAAGGATTTTATTTCCCTGTGATGCTTTCCTCTGAAATGGAGTCTAGGGAGGAGAGGTGAGAAGCAGTGTTTCCATTTTAAAAGTGGCAGTTCCAGGTTCAATGCAGAGATGGTCAAATCCTGGGCTGATAAGAGTCAGCTGTAACTAGTTGGTAGTCAGCAATCTAGGGAACATGATACAGGCCTGTGCCATACTGTGACACACCATGACAGGCCAGGGCCATGTCACAGCCTCAGCTTCAACTTGTGAGTAGTGGGTATTTCTGTCTTTTTCGCGTTCTTGTTTATGAGGTGGGTTTGGTTGAAAATTGAAATGGACTTGAATCTCTGGGCTGTGGCTTATGACAGCTCTTAGAGGGCAATTGGCATGATATTTTGCACCTATGAGTGAAATATCTTAAATTTCATTGATGTTTGTTAAATTATCTACTTTGACATTAATAATACATGCATGGACCGGGGCTGGTGGCTCATGCCTGTAATCCCAGCACTTTGGGAGGCCGAGGAAGGTGGATCACTTGAGCTCAGGAGTTGGAGACCAGCCTGACCAACATGGTGAAACCCTGTCTCTGCTAAAAATCCAAAAATTAGTCGGGCATGGTGGCACATAGCTGTAGTCCCAGCTGCTTGGTGGACCTGAGAATCACTTGAATCTGGGAGGGAGAGACTGCAGTGAGCCAAGATCGTGCCATGCACTCCAGCCTGGGCATCAGAGAGAGACTGTCCCAGAAATAGATACATAAATACACGCATGTCTCATCATCTGGTGGCCACAAAGTCTCCTGGATCTGTACATGGGACTCCTTATTTCCCAGAGTATACTGGATGACATGCAGGGCTAGTATTGTTGAAATAGTAAATCCTTAGGGACTGTCAGGCTAAATAACAGAGAGAGGTCCCTAAAAGAAAAATATGTATCTGGGAATAGAGCACTGCAATGGGAATACACACGCCAGAGGAAACTATGTGTATATTTGGGGAAATAAAGCAAGACAAAAATTTTTCAAGGAAAAATGAGGATTATCTAATTGCTTTGAAATAATTAACCTTGGCTACAAAGATCAATCATGAAAGTGTTAGCCTGAGGTTGGACAGGCAGTTGTTCAGAGGTCCTTGCAGAGTATGTTTTGTGTTCAGTTACAATGGCCTTTGTTCAAGGTTGCGGTTTTTGCAGTCTTTCGTGGTAATTTTGGTTTTCAGTTGTACAACCATTAGAACCCTCCTTTCATGGCCTTCCGAGCTGTATTTGTTGTTTGTTTTTTAACATTAGTGACTCCATTTTTATTCTGACCATTTTTACGTGATGCACAGAAAAAAGAAATTTGTATTATTCATAATAATATTCCTTGGAGAACCACTTAACTATGAATCGGTGAGGAGGGAGATCTTTTTTAAATAATTGAGGTTAAGAAGGTATATCGATTAGCTGTTTTCGTGTAACAAACCAACTGGTTATAACAGCAACCATTTATTTGCTGGTGATTTTGTGGGCTGGGAGTTTGGGCAGGAAGTAGCAGATAAGGCAGTCTCAGAACCACGTGGTGTCAGCTGGGTTTCCTCACCTCTGTGGGCTTCAGTGGGGTGGACCGGGTTGTCAGGGAAGGCAGGGACCCCTCTTCACATGTTTTTCGTTCTCCATGAGGCTAACTTGGACTTGTTCACAGGTAGCAGCATTGTCGGAGGCCTACTCTCGGAATGTGAACAGTGTCACTTCTGTCACCTTCTATTGATCAAAGCAAGTCTCAAGGCCAGAAAAGGGCCAAGGAGTAAGAGAATAGATTCCACCTCTTGAGGGAATTGGTTACAGGGAATTTTGGCTAATTTTTTTTTTAAAGGTAGAGTCTCTCTCTGTCACTCAGGCTGGAGTGCCGTTGCACAATCTCGGCTCACTACAACCTGTGCCTCCCGGGTTCAAGTGATTCTCCTGCCTCAGGCTCCCGAGTAGCTAGGACTACAGGTTCACACCACCACACTCAGCTAATTATTGTATTTTTATTAGAGACAGGGTTTCACCATGTTGGGCAGGATGGTCTCAATCTGCTGACCTTGCGATCTGCCTGCCTTGGCCTCTCAAAGTGCGGGGATTACAGGTGTGAGCCACCTCGCCTGGCCGAATTTTGGCTATTCTAAATCAACCCCAGAAGGTTTCATAAGAACTTTGATTAGCTCCTTTCTACCTTCATGAACTTACCAATCTGTTCCTGGTTTTGTACCTTTAGGAAACTCTCATTTTTTAAATCTGATGAATATATGTCCATAAGACGCTTTACTTTGTTAAAAATAAATACATAAAAAATTGAGAGAAAATTAGTTCGTAGAAGAAAAATGAATGAGGAGTGTCATATTTCATTCTCACATCCATTTCTCTAAGAAATGAATCTGTCCTTCAACATCTGTTCCTAACCCATACTGTTCGAATATACATGGCTGTCGGTCAATGTCTGGGCATTATTTATAATCAGCCACAAGGGGTTACAGCATAATGGCTTATAATTTGGTGGGGTGGGACCACAGACTAATTGGAGTTTTTTGTTTCAGTCCTCATAACTTATTTGAAGCAGGGGGCTTGGCTGTCCACCCTTTGTACTTAGTAGTCCACCAAACATCTGCCCAGTCACCACAGGGACTTTTCAATCTCCATACTTATACTTGCTTGATGTTTTGTGGTATGGACATGGACACTTACCAACATGGGATAGCCTGCTCCTCTCCACACAGATGACTGAACAGGCATTGAACAGAAGGGTTAAAAAATGACTAGCCTGAGTTACATTGATGACAAGATGACCTTCTGTTGAAAAAAAAAAAAAAGAGAGAGAGAATGAACAAGTGTTTATTCAGCTTCTTTTTAGAGTTAATTTGGTGGGGGTCGGCCCTGGAGAGACAGGTCATGACTCTGGAGGTGGTGGTGCCTTCTTGACTCAGGTGTGATGAGTCCTTCCTCTTTCTGCTGTCCGGACTGCAGTCTCAGTAGTTAGGAGCACTAGGTAGGGTCCTTCCCAGGCTGGTTCGAGCTTCCTTTCCTTCTACCCTTGGATGAGAACGTGGTCTCCAGGCCGATGCTGATGTTCTGGAAACTCCAGGGACGACGCCTGTGCTAGGAGACCTTCAGTCTTAAGGGAAGAGAAGGTAGAGGATAGAACAAGCATATAATTTTTGAGGAACTGATCCTTTGTTTCAAACGTAGGGATGTCAGCAGTGGAGTGTAAGTAGGGAATTCCATAGAGCATTTCATAAGCTGACAGGCCAATATCTCTCCAAGGGGCAGTCGGGATTCTTAACAAAGCAATAGAAAGACATTTAATCCATGGCAATCAAGTTTCTAAAGCTAACTTCAGTGGTTTTTTAGAGTCTGATTCATCCACTCTAGGCTTCCTGAGGAAGATGGATGCCAAGGGGTATGGTATTCCCAATGCATTTCTAGTGCCTGGGCTCACTTCTTAATGACATGCACAGTGAAATGGGTTCCATTATCTGAATCAATATTTTCTATTAGTCCAAATCTGGGTGCGATGTTTTCACTTAATGCTTTAACTACATTGCTGGCAGTTGCACGTGAGAAGGGGATTGCCTCTACCCAGTGGGTACAGTGGTCTATTATTACTAATAAGTACACCGACCAATTGGAGGCATTTCAGTGTAATCAATCTGAACACTTTGAAATGGTCTCAGCCCTGGATTGCTTCCTCCAAAGGGAAATTTACTTAGGACCCGCTTATTAGTTTGTTTACATATTAAGCAACTATCTATAACTAGTTTGTCCAGGGTGTAAATTCCTATACACCCATAAACCCAGAGAACTGCATCGCACATTGCTTGGGGTCCCCAGTGGGTCCCTTGACATAATTGAGACAGACTTCCCTCATGAGAGGTTTTGACAACATTCCCCTTTGATCTGGTAACATCCATTTCCTTTCTGCATTTTGTTTAGCTCCTATTCTTATCAACTTCTTTTTTTCAATGGAAGAGAAAACGGGGGTTGCAGTAGGAGAAGGAAGGCATGGAGTTAAATGGAAGAAATGGCAACTTGTTTTGCTATTTGATCTGCAGGATTATTTCCTCGACTTGTGAAAGGCAAGTCCTTTTGGTGCCCTGGGACATGTACAATAGCCGTCACTTCTGCCAGTTGGAGATTGTTGAGGACATGAGCATCAGTTCTATTTGAACTAAATCTTGGCCTGTACTATTGATAAGACCCCTCTCCATCCAAATTTTTCCAAATGTGTGTGCCACCCCAAAGGCATACTTAGAGTCAGTACAGAGAGTGTTTTCTTGGTTTTGTAAATGTCCTAAAGCTTGGCTGAGTGCAAACAGTTTATACCCTTGGGCAGACCAATTATCAGGCCACCTTCCTGATTTTACTTTTCAAGGATCTTTCCATTAATCACTGAATACTTATTATGTCTCTTTCTTTTAA